CACTGTATATCCAGCCTGGGCAACAGAGTGAGACCCTGTCTGTTAAGAAAAAAAAAGATTGAAGTAGCATTATATGTACAGACACAGAGCATCTACTATATATTATTAGATTTAAAAAACGAGTTATAAAATATTCCAGTTGTGTTTAAAAATGATACGCAGCATGTCTCATTTTTCTTGGGTCGAAGTTGATTCTTTAAGCTTCCTCCCTGCATACTCGAAGCTCCTTCAGGGCTTGGGCAGTGCCTTTGGATGGTGTCTTCTCATCCTTTGCCGAGACTTCAGGTGGCACCTTGTACATAATTGGCCCGCAGTGATTGCTTAACAGGTGTGATAACACGGCATTCATCTCGTCATCAAGAGTCCTCTGCAGATGAGTCGAATTCTAATTCCCAACTACTTTGAAATACATTTAAAAAATGATTCTGTAGTTTTAAAATTTTGCAGTTCAAATAGAGTTACTGATTTTTTTTTTTTTTTTTTTTTTGAGACGGAGTTTCACTCTGTCACACAGGCTGGAGTACAGTGGCACAATCTCGGTTCACTGCAACCTCCGCTTCCCAGGTTCAAGCGATTCTCCTGCCTCAGCCTCCCAAGTAGCTGGGACTATAGGCATGCACCATCATGCCCAGCTAATTTTTGTGTTTTTAGTAGAGACGTGGTTTCACCATGTTGGCCAGGCTGGTCTCGAACTCCTGACCTCAGGTGATCCACCCGTCTCAGCCTCCCAAAGTGCTGGGATTATAGGCATGAGCTATCATGCCCGGCTGAGTTACTGAAATTTTAATTAATATTTCGGTCTTTAAATGATTTTGTCATATTTATTTTCTCCCCCATTTCTGAGATATATTTTTTGACCTCCACTGACTTTATAGTGTTGTGTTTGCAGAGTTTACCCTTTGGAAGTGGATTTAATTCTTGCTGTTTTTAATCAGTTGACAAACATTAGTACTGGGTCTTTATGCTTAAACCTTCATATGTGCATTAGAATCAATGAAGCATCTTATAGGAAAGCAGAGTCCTGGACTGCAACCCCATAGACTCTGATTTAGTAGGTCTCAGGGAGGGGCCCAAGGAATCTGCAGTTTTTGGTAGTATTTAAGCCGATTCTAAAGCAGGTTCTGCTGATCACTCTGGGAAACACTGATTTTAAAAGATTGCATGGATTAGCCTAGATTAGCATGAATCTATTGGGCTTGTTAAATGAACAAGAGCATTTATTAAAATAAGAAGGTATTCATGTTAATTTATAAAATTTAACACACAGTTTAGACCAGAGCAAGATTTAAAGGACTATAAGCACTGAATCCATTGTGATGCGATCCCATTAATCTCTATCTGCCAAGATGCCAATCTACACTGGCAGTACCGTTGCAGGACCATGGTGTCACATGCACAGCAATCATAACCCGCAAGCGTGTAACCGCAGAATGGTCAGTAGGGCCTGGAACAAGATAAATCTCTAACTGAGAAGTATGAGCCTTAAAGGAGCACAGATTATTAGTGAACGATCACTTAAATGTAGCTCCAGGACTTCAGTGTTAATACTGCTGTCATGTAACTCTTTCTATAAACAATCTTCTCTATTTATTTTATTTAAAAGTGTTCAAGAAAATTATGAATCCAACTGTGTGATTCCATAGCCTTGTCTTAGAATGAGATGGAAATTCAGTGTTGTGTAAGTGTACTTTTGATCTTCCCAGGGACTGGGCCCCTTTAAGGTATAGGTTTTTAGCATCATTTAACTGTTCATGCAACCACAGTGATTTCCCCTGAGAGAGACCCTGACAGCATTTCTAGTTTCTGCATTTCCTTTCTGTTGCCCGCCACACAGGTGGGGAACAGAGAAGCGAGGGTACCAGAGGATCTCAGTGATGCTGTGGGTGTCTCTGGGGTGACCGGATAGCAATTCAGTGTGGAGGTAGCTTTGTGGTCTTCCAGGTCTGACTGCCTGGGATGGATTTCCTACTTTCCCTTTACTAATTGTGTGGCCTTTGGTAAATTATTGAACCTGGAAGCCTCAGTTTCCTCCTATGAAAATGGGAATCATCATTGATTGGCTCATGGAGTCATCAGGAAGATGGAGTTAATGACCCTAGAGTGCTTAGCATGACAGTACCTGGCACAGAGAAAGTGCTCTGCAAATGCCAGTGCTGTTACTATTAATCACAGACTTTTCCTTCCTGAACACCCTACACTTAGAGATTTTAGCGTTTACTGTTCATTAATCCGCTTAGGCTCCTAGTTTCTTATAACACATTTCTAATTTTTAAAGGGATCAGTTTCTTTTTTTCTAGAGAATCCTTTTTAACAAGGCATAGATATTTATATGTGTATCCTAATCAGAGACATATGGCAGCTTCAGTGGAACCATAATATAATGATAGGATTATGACTTTATCTTTATAAGATTATGTCATAACCAATAAACTCTAAAGAAAAAGACAACCTCTTCCTTTGCTCCAGATAAATCTTGTGGGTGGTTCTTTGTTTTTTAAGATGGAGTCTTGCTCTGTTGCCCAGGCTGGAGTGCAGTGGCCGGATCTCAGCTCACTGCAAGCTCCGCCTCCCGGGTTCACGCCATTCTCCTGCCTCAGCCTCCCGAGTAGCTGGGACTACAGGCACCCGCCACCTCGCCCGGCTAATTTTTTTTATTTTTAGTAGAGATGGGGTTTCACCGTGTTAGCCAGGATGGTCTCAATCGCCTGACCTCATGATCCGCCCACCCCGGCCTCCCAAAGTGCTGGGATTACAGGCGTGGGCCACCGCCTGGCCAGGTGGTTCTTAATTTTTATCTGTCAGTCTTCCTTTATAAGCAAAATGGTTACACTTTGAGATCTCTGAATTGTGTTTTCCATGTAATGGAACTTTGCTTGATTGTTTCCAGATTGAGTAGTCACTCGTGTAAATTGCAATCACCAAATTTCTCCTGAAGAGAGAGGTCAGGCTTGCTCAGTGTGGTGTGGTCCCATGTGATGGCAGCTGGGAACAGTGAGTGAGTGGGTGTTTCTTCCCTCTCCCACCCACTCCTGTTAGCCTTCTGGTGTATCTGTGCCCAGCCACACGTGATTTCTGACTGCTGCAGGACAATGTGGAAGGACAATGTGTAACACTTATTGTTGTTCTGGGTTAAAGAAGTACCTGGAAGGTCAGAGTGTTGTGTCAGTAATGTGCTACCTTCTAATAAATGTGTGTTTGTAAGGAGAGATCAGAACTGCGAGGGTTTTAATAAGATGAGCTTTCCCTTTTCTGCTTAGTTTCTGGTATTAGCAGTGAGGACTTTAAGCAGCAATTTGTATTTTTTACTTCCTCTCTCGATGATATTGCAGACAGTGCAGTTTTTATCAGCTGCAGAAGGCAGCTGTTGAAGAAAGCTAATGTGATTGTTGAGAGCAGAGAGCAGAGAATTGGATGATGGTAATGACCAGAATAGTTAACCTTTCGGAGCACACTGATCGCTTTTCCTCGTATTAAGCGTTGTGCAAACACTCAAAATGAGGAGTTTTCTAGGTTGCAGTGAAAACGGTTACTGTGATGAAACATTACTTTCTAGGCCTGACATCCCCCACCTGTGACTTTGTTATTTTCCTTGATGCAAAAATGTCTAGTTCTAAGGGAGCACATAAAGAGGAGACATAAAAATAGTGGAATACCATGCCTGTTTTCTAGATAACGGCCTAGTTTAAGGTTTTGCCTGGAAAATTCCCTCTCATTTTTTCCTTTTGTTATTTAGGGCCATTTTTATATTTCTCTACCTCTGGCCTTTCTACCTTTTTCCCCCCTCTGCTAGAATGTTTATATGAATTGGCTCTTACCTGAAAGTAGTTCCAGACTTGACTTTGTTCAGTTTTACAGTAAAAATCCGCAGTTCTTGTACAGTTTTGGCAATTCAGTGCAGGGTATTACTTATTTCATTAGAATTAAAAACTTGATCCTTGCTGTTTTATTGGACAATGTTTCATTTCCTTTTTAGCTAAGGGGATAGAGGTCCTTTGCTCATCATCTCATTTGGGAAATAAATCTCTTTCTGTCTCTCTCCCTCATTCTTCTGCTTGTGCTCTGTCTCTATTCTCTTATAACCACTGAATATTATGGATGACCAAATGACAGAAGAGGATAACATAGATAATAATAAGGTACATATCTTGAAGGACAATCTGTAAAATAAGTAAAAAGTATGTTCTTCAAAACACTTCTACCAGCTTCATTGCTATTTCTTCATATTTCTGCAAGCTGGATCTGTCTCTGGTTTTGTTTAGCATTTATAGGGTACACAGGATTTTGGCAGATAGGAGAAGGTTTTGTTCCTGAACCTCATGTGGGTTCACCTGCATGGTGTGTGTGTTTCAGCATACACGGGGAGCTCTGTAATTTTAGTCCTGTCCTGGGTTATCCCAGTCTGTAAAACAGGAAAGTAAAAAGTCACAGAGCTGTTCATTACATGAGATAGTTATAAAAAGTCATTTAAAAAGCAGGGAGCTATTTTACAAGTATGGGGCTTTGTTTGTAATGTAAATGTAGACATTGACAAGGGCTGGTTGTTAGAATGACTTAAAAATACAATCCAGAACCCTGAAGGTACAATAAAGACCTAAGATGGAATGTTTAATCATTGTGTTCTTACTTGAAATCCCAACTGTGCTGTCCTGGATGGTCAGTAGAGACCTCCAGTCAACTCTTCTGTGGGGCTTTAGAAAGACACCTATGGAAGACACATCACATGGGAAAAGCAGGAGCAAGAGAGAAAGGGGGAGGGGCATGTACGTTTAAACAGCCAGATCTCCAGAGAACTCTTGGAATTAATTGTATTTTACTTAAATTTCTTCAGACTGAATTCTAGAAAAAAAATGTGTAATGGTGGAAGGAATGGGGTGGGATGGGACGGGACAGGGTAAGAATAGATTATAATTCTTCTGTGTTTTTAAATACTCAGGCAGATTAATATGTGATATGATGCTTACCCTTGGTTAAAGATCTACTTTTTTTGTTTTTTCTTACAGGAATGACTTGACTTGAAGAACTCTAAGAGACTGAAAACTTACAAGATATGAAGTTGCCTCGGGAATTTTTTATATATTTTATACAGTTTCTGTCATGGAGTCAGCAGGCATGTGAATAAAACCTAAAAGGGAATGTTATTGCTGTGCCGTATACAAAATTCAGTTTGCTTTGAAAGAGTCTTGAAAAATTTATTATACTTCCGGGCAAGGAAAGAGCTGTTTTTATCTTCTTAACCACTCCCCGCCTCTACCCTTCCCAGCCCCTAATCCCAGGCCTTGGTGTACACACTGTAGTTTTTCCATTATGATCAGTATGTGCAGTGATACTATTCACGTACAGTCTGAGCTTATGCTCAGGGGTGTGTGTGTATATGTGTATACATGTGTGCACGTGAGCGTGAGTTTCTCTTTTTCCTGTTCCTACATCCTAGATCTTCATACATACAGGTTAGCTGTTACAAAAGATAAAAGATGAATCTTCAGTGGTAAAAGCTCAGTGGAAAGAATCTAGTCTAGCCCTGAGGAGTTGATTCCCCAAGGGACCATGGAGTCAGATGGGACCAGATGCTAGACTTTTGATGCCTTGACTACAAATTCAGCATTAACTCCTGCCACTACCATGTCACTCCTACAGCACTTACACATTTTGAGAAGGTTTTTTTTTGAGACGGAATCTCGCTCTGTCACCTAGGCTGGAGTGCAGTGGCATAATCTCGGCTCACTGCAATCTCCACCTTTCCAAGTTCAAACGATTCTTCTGCCTCAGCCTCCTGAGTAGCTGGGATTACAGGCATGTACCACCGAGCTTGGCTAATTTTTGTATTTTTAGCAGAGACAGGGTTTCACTATATTGGTCAGGCTGGTCTTGAACTCCTGACCTCAGGTGATCTACCCGCCTCGGCCTCCCAAGGTGCTAGGATTATAGGCGTGGGCCACTGCACCTGGCCTTTTTTTTTTTTTTCCCTAACCTTTAGCTGAGCGATTCTTGGTCAATCCATTGAGTAAAGGAGAAAATGGTTTAAAGTCACACACACACACACACACACACACACACACAAATTTGTTTGGACAACCCAAGGCCAAGCCAAAAGAACCCTGCTTCTCATACAAGATGGACCTGCACCTACCTCTGGCATGTTTTTCTTTGTGTATTTCCTGTTTTTCCTCTTGTAACTCATGCTCCTTATTTAAAATACTCCAGTTACTTTAGGACAGACTTTTCTTTTTCTTTTTCTTTTTCTTTTTTTTTTAACTGTACATTTTACAAAACACCTGAAAGGACCCAGAGGCATAAATAGTAGTACGTGATTTATGGTAGCTCTGGGGTGAGCTGGTGGGGAGGCCAGTTATGAGGTCTCCAAGACCCGCCTCCATGTCAGTGTTGGGGGTGCCTTGGGCACTTCCTTTATTTCACATAGAAAAAGCACATCTTTCATTTGTGTCCCAAAAGATGATTTCCATAAAAATATACTTCAAAGTATTTACTGTACATAGACTTAAGCGATTCTATTTCCAGCATCAAACTAAACATGTCTAACCTTTTAAGTAAATGGGGAATTCAGTTCCATGAGAATTTTTACTGACAACTAATAAACACTGTGTGTGTATACATTCATCTACACTGTGGACCGGAGAAAGTCAGTACGGAAATAAATTTCACTGAGATCCAGAAAGTAGCAATATAGGACTTCTAGTGGTATGTATTAGTGTAAATAATATATGTGCAGCCTAGGCTAATCGTTTTAATTAAAAACAAACAAGCATACTTTTTTGATTTAAAAAATATGCCCTCAAAATGGTGGGGGATAAAATGTAAGATATTCTTTAGCTTTAATTATTTTTCCATCTTATGCAAGTCAGAGCACTTTTTTTTAAAATAGCAATACAACAGGCAAGAGAATACTCAAAAATATTTAAAATTGTATTTATACCAAGAGTATGTTTTAAATATTTTCTAATACTTGAGCAGTTTTTGTCTGGCAGGCTTCCAAATTTGCCAAAAGTTAAGTGTTCAATATTTTCAACACATACGCTTTTTACTGGTTTATACTGAACTCTCTGAGAATTCCTAAGTGTTCCCAAAGCTACTGATGTTTACAGGTCTTGTGTTTCTTCTCCTTCTTTCTAAGGATGAGGGAATCCACAGCAGACTTTCTCTAGAAAACACTAATGATGGACAACTTTTTGGTGTCATAAATGAGTTGGCTACTACCTTGATGTAAAAATTTGTAAAGGAAATTTTTCACCATTTCGAGTGTCAAGTGTATTTTTAACTGTCTGGTTTGTACTTTTATGACTTTTGTACTACCAAAGCGGAGTTAAAAATAAAAATGTTAAACGCAGCGTGTTGTCTTGTGAGTGATCCAAGTATTGGCGCCTTGTACACTGGAAGTTCAGTCGTGGCAGTCTAATTATTGAGCTTAATTTTTTACTGTGCTGAGTTTCTTGTGTCTTGAAATATCAAGTGATCATTTGGCTGACTTTCCTCATGGGGTTTCCCGTCCTGCAGTACCCCTTCCCCTAACACAGGCATACCTTGCAGATACTGTGGGTTTAGCCCCGGCCTACTGCAATAAAGAAAATATTACGAGCAAGCCAGCCACTTGAGCTTTCTGGTTTCCCGCTGCATATAAAAAAGCTACGTTTATCCTGTAGTCTATTAAGTATGTGCAATAATATTCTGTCAAAAAGCGTACATACCTTAATTTAAAATACTTTATTTCTAAAAAAATACGATAATCTGAGGCTTCAGCAAGTCATTATCTGTTTGCTGCTGGAGGGTCTTGCCTCAATGTGGAAGGCTACTGACCAGGGTGGTGGTTACTGAAGGTTGGGGTGGCTGTGGCAATTTCTTAAGATAACACAGTGATAAAGTTTGCTGCACTGATTGACCCCACCTTTCATGAAAGTTTTCTCTGTAGCATGCAGTACTGTTTGATAGCATTTTATCATAGTAGAACATCTTTCAAAATTAGAGTCAATCATCTCAAACTCTGACGCTGCTTTATCAACAAAGTTAGGACCTTGCTCTGTATTAGGCTTTAGCTCAAGGGAATGTTGTGGCTGGTTTGATTTTTTTATCCAGGCCACTGAATCTGTTTCCATATCAGCAATAAGACTGTTGCACTTTCTTATCATTCGTGTATTTGCTAGAGTAGCATTTTTAATTTTCTTCAACACTTTTGCTTTGCATTCACAACTTAACTATTTGGTACAGGAGACCTAGTTTTCTGCCTGTCTCGGCTTTTGACGTGCCTTCCTCACTTAGCTTAATCATTTCTAGCTTTTGATTTCAGATGAGATGTGTGTGACCCTTCCTTTCACTTGAGCAGTGAGAAGCCATTGTAGGGTTACTGATTGGCCTAATTTTAATATTTTGTCCCAGGGAATAGGGAGGCCTGAGGAGAGGGAGAGAGACAGGGGAATGGCTGGTTGGTAGAGCAGTCGGAACACACACACACGTCATTTACAGATTCAGTTCGTCATTTTATGTGGGCACAGTTCATATCATCCCAAAACAATTACGATAGTAACATTAGAAATCACTGATCACAGATCACCATAATAGATATAATAATAATGGAAACGTTTGAAATAGTTCAAGAATTACCTATATGTGACACAGGGACACGAGTGAGTATATGCTGTTGGAAAAGTGGTGCTGATGGCCGGGCGCGGTGGCTCACACCTGTAATCCCTGCACTTTGGGAGGCCAAGGCGGGTGGATCACGAGGTCAGGAGATCGAGACCATCCTGGCCACCATGGTGAATCCTCGTCTTTACTAAAAATAGAAAAACAAACAAAAAATTATCTGGGTGTGGTGGTGCGCACCTGTATTCCCAGCTACTCGGGAGGTTGAGGCAGGGGAATTGCTTGAACCCGGGAGGAAGAGGTTGCACTGAGCCAAGATTGCCCCACTGCACTCCAGCCTGGGCGACAGAGAATCCATCTCAAAAAAAAAAAAATAGTGGTGGTGCTGATGGAGCTGCTCACCTTGCAGAGTTGCCACACACCTACAGTTTATTAAAAACAAAACAAAAACAAGAAAACCCTGCAATATCTGCAAAGCACACTACAGCAAAGGGCAATAAAATGAGGTATGCCTGTTACTACTTTTTAAATTTGAAGATAATTTTGGACTTATAGCAGAGTTGCAAAAGCAGTACTGAGTTCATGTGAAGCCTTCCCTCCATTTCCCCGTATGTTACCATCTTAACTATAAAAAAGTGATCACAACTAAAAAAATTAACAGTGGTACGGTACCATTCATTAAATCACAATGTTCTTTGAATTGCATCCGTTTGTCTGACCGATGTCCCCTGCTGTTCCGCGATGTCCCACTGCATTTCGTTGTTGGATCCTGTCTCCTCTGATCCTTGACTGCCTTTAGTCTTTTCTTGTGTTTCGTGATCTTGACACTTGAATGTACTGATCAGTTCTTTTGTAGAAGGTCCCTCAACCTAGGTGTTCCAGCTGATTCTTGTGATTAGACAGGTTTTGCATAAGGGAAGGGACACCACACAGGTGATGCGCCCTTCCCATTACATCGTGTTGGGAACACGACGGTACGTATTACCAGTGATGTCAGCCTTCATCATTGCCCAAGGTGGTGTCTGTCAGGTTTCATTTTGATAAAGTTACTATTTTCCCTTTGTAATTAATAAATATTAGAGGGAAGATACTTAGAGATTAGGTGAATATCTTATTTCTGCTTAAACTTTCACACATTAATTTTACCATCTGTATGACTTTTCTAGGGCTACCATAACAAATTACCGAAACCTGGCTGGCCCAGAACACAGAAATGTATTCTTTCACCATTTAGAAGGCCAGAGCCTGAAGTCAAGGTGTATGCAGGGGGATTCCTTCTGATATCTCTGGGGCATAATCTGGCCCATGCCTCCCTGCTAACTTCTGGTGGGTGCTGGCAATTCTGGCCATTCCGTGCTTTCTTCCCTGTGTCCTCTTATAAGGACAACAGGCATTGGGTTTAGGGTCCACCCTAATCCAGTATGACTTCATTATAACTTGATTACATTTGCAGAGAACGCTTTCAGGTTGGTGCTCGTGTCCTTTGATGTGGTTCCATCCTTTACTTTACTTTTCTCCTTCCCTCCTCCACCTATTACCCTCCCTC